TCAAAGTAAATCAACAGAAAAGAAATTCCAAAACAAAAGAAAGCAGGGGTAGCTATACTTATATCAGACAGAATAGATTTTAATCCAAAAATGGTAACAAAGGACAAAAGATTGTATAGGGATAAAGGAATCAATCCATCAAGAAGATATGACACATATAAGCATTTGTAGTTCACTTCCAAGAGATACTGCCATTCTAGCAATGCCCTACTGTCATGAAATAAAGCTCCTATTATGGAATTCTAGGCATTGGAATTAAATTAATGGGGTAGGGACACCAAATGAAGTAAAAATGCTTTCCTGTGACTCCCACAAGACCACATCAGTAGGAAAGCAAAACATAAACTTCATTCTCCAAGTCCACAGACTTTCCACACACCATATGCTAACACCAAAAGGCAAAATGCATGGACCCAAGGCTGTACAGGCAGAAGATGATAGGGTGGGAATTCCAGATGGAAATTCCAGTCTAGATGATCCCTCCTGAAATCTGTGCACTTTGCACTATGGACAACAGGAGAGGAGATGCAACTCAATTTGAAAATTCTCCGAAATACAGACAGCAATGAAAGAGCTACAACTGATAACATGGAGTATAAGGGGCTCATTCATCTACCACAAAAAAATATATATGAATAAGTTAACTTTTGTTCTATTATTTACATTTGACCAAAAACAGAATATGCATATATAGTCCTGTTCTTAAGAATTTTTTTTCATTTTTTCATTTTTATCCCACTTCTGAGTTCACTTTCTTCTCCCACAGCTTCCTCATGGCATTTTTCACCTCTGCATTCCTGAGTGTGTAGATGATGGGGTTCAGCATGGGGGTGACAACTGTGTAGAACACGGCCACCAGTTTGTCCTCAGTGAAGGTGGAGGAGGTTCGCATGTAGAGGAAGATGGCAGGTCCAAAGAACAAGAGGACCACTGTGATGTGAGAGGCACAGGTGGAGAGGGCTTTGCGCCTCCCCTCTGCAGAATGGTTCCTCAGGTTGTACAGGATGACAATATAGGAGGACACCAAGATGAGGAAGGAGAAGACGGAGATTAACCCACTGTTGGCCAACACAATAACCCCCTCCACAGAAGTGTCAGTGCAGGCAAGCTTGAATAACGGATGGAGGTCACAGAAGTAGTGGTCAATCACATTGGGACCACAGAACGGCAGTTGGACAGTAACAAGGATCTGGACCATGGAGTGAATTATGCCCCCGAGCCAGGAAACAGCCACCAGAAGGCGACACACAAACTGGCTCATGATGGTGGTGTAGCGAAGAGGTTTACAAATGGCCACAAAGCGGTCATAGGCCATTACCGTCAGCAGGAAGATCTCAGTAACTCCAAAGAAGTGGAAGAAGAATATCTGAGCCACACAGCCCTCCAGGGAGATGGTTTTAATCTTGGCAAGTAAGTCTGTCATGAATTT